TGGGGCCCATACTGCACTGACCACGGGGCCACCCAAAGCACAGGGTCCAGGGCAGTCATCCCAATTCACCCCCACCACCCCAGGGATGACCCTGCTCCACACACACACACACACACACACACACACACACACACACACACACACACACACACTTGTAGGACACATAGGGAAATCCCCTGCATCACATTCTCCTGCTCCCTAACAGACAGCATGTCTGCAAGCAGGAGTCCCTGTCCTTCCCTCCACCCCTCTTTGCAGATGTAGTTTGAGTCAGAGCACAGCAAAGGAGGAACATCCGTAGGGCTAGGGACAGACATTACACAAACTGGTTGAAGTGATCAGAAACTGGTTTAAACCTGTAACAGATCAGATTCACTGTACATAAACCAGTTTGAAAATGGCTGAAACCAGTTTGAAATAAGCCTGGTTGAACATAGTATCAGACTTAACCGATTTGGCTCAAACTGGTTTATGCAATGTCTGTCCCAGACCCCTTGCTGGTTTAAGTTAAATCAGAGTCCCCCAGCATCCAGCATGCTCTCTGGGCTGGGCAGGGCTCTCATCTCACCTCCTCTCTGCTCCTTAGCTGGAGCTCAGCACAGAATTGCAGGGACAGCAGGGTCTACTGGCTTCCCCATGCCCCCTTCCCCACCCGCTCCTCCCCCACTCACTGCTTAAGCAGAGACCCCTTCCTCCTCTCTGCCACAGCACAGACCATAGCCAGCATGTGGTATGCTAGCTAATGCCGACCGGTATCTATGTGCGTCTCTCTCTCCAATTTCACTAGGATAGGTAGGCAGAACAGCGATTGCTTAGGGCTTTTGGAGCTAATCAACAGGTTAGCCAGTAAGCTGTTTAAGAATTTTGAAGTAATGTGGAGAGAGGCTATTATTTTACTAATCCAGTGATAAAGACTTATCAGTCCCCTGGCTGGCCTGCTTACATGTCAGTTTGCTGCAGACAGTATGATGAAGCAGGGAGGGAAATTGAAAAGCTCCATATCATCAACAGATGCATGCACTGCACACCCCGCTTTCCCTCAGAGTGCTAGCCTGGGGCTGAGGGCTGGCAACACTCCTTCCCCTTGAGCAGCCAGCAGGGAAAAGCCTGGGACCGGGCAGGCAGACATCCCTAATTAGAGTGTCCTGCTGGGGCCTGACCACACCCCCCTCAGCTCAGCTCCCTGCAGAAGGGAAGGGAGGGCTGCTCTAGCATCCTTTGGCTTCTAGCCTGAGCCACTACAGGCATGTACCTGAACTTCCTCAGTCCAGACAGACTGTCTATCCAGTTTTAAACCAGTTCAGCCTAGTCAGGTTAGACTAACCTGCAAAGATTTAATCAATTCAGGCTCAGGCTTTTTGAAAGTCAGTCCCTAACCTAGATGTCCCTGAACTGAGATCAGCTATGCTGCAACATGCTGAGGTGCAGCTGATCACATGTCACTGAAGATATCTGTTCCTAGCCTCAGGCACCTCAGTCCATCTATGCACCTAATAAATGAAACAATCTGCCCCATGCAACATGGTTCCATTCCTCAAATCAAGTCTTCTTCTGCTGAATCAATCTCTGTATTGATCACACAGTGAAGTCAATCACGTTCTGAGACAAAGTCACTGACGTCTGCAAGTGGTGCAAGTATAATCACCACACGATCATTACATACACTCATAACACAGAGCTGCCAAGGAAGGGGTCATCTAATCCAACACTGCCTTAAGGCATGGCCAAGTATACCTAGACTATACCCCAACCTGTTGTTCTTAGACATCTCAGACAACAGGGATTTTACAGGTAACTACATCATCATCCTCACTTTAACTACATATAGAGTGCTCTCTCCCTTTCATTTTTATTATCATACTGAGTAAATATACCTAAAACTGAAATAGTCTACATTTAGGGGGAAAAGCAAGTAAAAATATGCTTCCATCCTTCCTCAGAAGATACTGACCACCTCAGATAGCAGAGCTCTTGCAGGAGTAACATGGAAAAGGTGGAAGGAGCCATACCATCATCTGCAAATCATAACACAATTTTGTTGAGCTATTTTCTGGGATTAAAATAAAAGTAAGGAGAGGGAGGGGTATCATAGCTAGGCTGAGAAGTTTAGCCCGAGGGTAGGCAATACCATTACAGCCAACTCCATACACTTTTAGGTGCCATTTGAAAACAGACCATACCTTTACATGGTTACATGTCAGAAGTTGAGAAATTCGTTGCTCAACTAGCAGAAAAGAGCCAACTGTAGGGCCATCCAAGTTCTCTGCATCCCGGGCTTGCATAAGAAATCCTTCAAAGTCTGGCCCAGACAAAGTCACTAAAACAGGAAGGGTGAAAAATGTAGTTAGGCAGTTTACCATGTAAACTGGCAGAAGGGCAAGGCAGGGTGGCACCTTAGAGTAACTAATTCAGAAAGTCTACTTAGTCCAGAGGTCGGCAACCCGTGGCACACATGCCAAGCATGGCATGTGAGGCCATTTTGCTTGGCATGACGCAGCACAGCTGTTTGGAGCCTCCCGGCTGCAATCAGCCCCAGCTCTGGGTAGCTGCTGCCAGTGACAGAGCCTGGACTGCTCCCAGCAGGGCTTGCAGTGTCCCAGCTGCTGGCTAGAAGCAACCCGGGATCCCAGCTGGCAGCAGCTCCCCAGAGCCAGGGGTGGCTGCAGCAGGGAGGCTCCAAACAGCTGTGCCAGGCTCCGGCATTAGCTGCGCACTGGCATGTGCACCAGCGCCTTGGAGCGGGCGGTGGGCGACGGGCCTGAGGCAGCTCAGCCCCGGTCTCTCCCCCACTCCCAGCACGGAGGTGATTTCATAGACATTTGGGCCGGAAAGAACCCCAGAGGATCATTGAGTCCAGCCCCCTGCCCCAGGGACAGGAAGTCAGCAGGGATCATAGGATCCCAGCAAGATAAGCATCCAAATGTGTCTTGAAGGCGTTCAAAGTGGGTGCTTGAACCGCCTCTGGCAGCAGTCTATTCCAAACCTTGGGGGCTCAGATAGTGAAGAAGTTCTTTCTTATGTCCAGCCTGAATCAGTCACAGTTGAGTTTGTGAATGTTTGATCTTGTAATCCCTTGGAGGGCTCTGGTGAACAGACGTTCCGCCAGATCTTGATGAGCACCCCTGATAAACTTGTAGGTGGCCACCAGATCACCCCTGAGCCTGCGCTTTTCCAGGCTGAATAGCCCCATTGCTCTCAGCCTCTCATCATAAGGTCTGTTTTCCTGACCTCTGATCATGTGTGTGGCTCTTCTCTGAACCCTCTCAAGCTTCTCCACATCCCTTTTGAATTGTGGAGCCCAAAACTGGATGCAGTACTCCAGCTGCAGCCTCACCAAGGCCAAGTACAGCAGGAGAATGATGTCCCAGGGTCTGCTTGCAAAGCATCCATGGATGCAAGCCAGCGTTTTGCTCGCTTTACTAGCAGCAGCATCACACTGAAGGCTCATGTTCATCTTGTGGTCAACCATGACCCCCAAGTCCCTTTCATCTGTAGTGCTAACTAGTGTAGCACTACCGAGCCTATAAGCATGGTGCAGGTTTTTCCTCCCAAGGTGGAGAAGCTTGCATTTTTTGGTGTTTAACACCATCAGGTTCTCACCTGGTACAGTTGTTTGGAGCCATCCTGGGCTCTGGGCAGCTGCAGCAAGCAGCAGGCAGAGTGCAAACAGCTCCACCAGGCTGCACAGCTCTGACATCAGCTCTGTGCTGGTGGAGACTACATGTGCACCTCAGGGCAGACAGCAGGGCAGCGCAGCCCCGCCCTAAGGTGCCCAGCTCTGGGGAGCTGCTGCCAGCCGGGATCCTGGGCTGCTCCCAGCAGGCAGCTGGGAAG